TCATACATATCCATAATGATTATATGCAAGAAGCAAAAAGCAATCAACACTAGATTAGCACAAAAATGATAGCTTGGATCTTTAACTCAAGGCGATTAGTCCTTAAATCAAAGAGCACCAAGCTCTGATACCAATTGTTAGACCCTAGAGGGGGGGGGGGGGGGTGATTAGGGTCTTATGCTAATTTAATCCCGATTAAAGGCCAATTAAAATAATATTGATTAATTTGTTCTTGCACGAATGATATAAGATAAATATGAGCAAGAAAGATATGAATAAGTACAAATAAAAATTACGCTAAGCAAAAGACAAACAATCGATATGTTTACGAGGTTCGGTCACCACGACCTACGTCCCCGCTCCTCACCTCGAGTAGATCTCCACTATCAAAATCCGATTTGGAAGCCGGAACTTCTACACACTCGGTTTACAAGCTTACCAAAAACTCTCACAATATGCAATCACACTTCACACACTAAGTGTAGGAACCTAGCCCGTGTCCTCCTCCTCAAGTGCTCGGATGCAACCTCTCTCTAGGTTCGTCAACCGACGCCACTCCTATTGGATTCGACCTCGTCTCTCGCCTCACACTTCTCTCGGTGTACAAGTGTATTACAAGTGATACTCACAAATAAAGATTAAATACAATGGTTTGTTCTCAATAACAAATGAGAACGCAAATGAAGCTTACACTCACTAAATCACACCCCACAACCCACACTATATAGTATGAAGATATTAAGCTCAATATTGTGTGTGTGATAATAGTGAATGAAAAAATATGTAACTCAATAAATATAGCTAAGATATGAAAATAAAATTATAAGCTATATGAAAGGAAGAGTTAGGAAAACTTCTTAATAAACAAGAAGAACAGTAGAGGATGATGAGGATAGGATCCTCAGTTGAAATGAAAAGCCTCTTCTTGTTATAGCAGACTTCTTTTAAAGCAGATGATCAGAAACAGCTTAAACAGCTCTTTAAACACACTTAAAATTTTTGTTAAAACTTTACTGTAAAACAAAACTTGGTTTTTTGAAAGAGAGTAGCAATGGGGTATTTATACCCACTCAAAATATCAGCTAAAACAAACTTGAAAAGACCAAAATAGCCCCAGAAAATCAAATCAGAAAATAGCCGTTGGAAAGCAATTATGAGATCGGCGGTCGACCGTGGAAATCTCGCATAAAAATGCAGACTATAAAAAATAACCGCTGGCGGTCGACCGCGGTGGTCGACCGCAAACTGATATATGCCAGGTGACATGTTTTGGACTGATTTTGAAATTACATTAAAAATATTAAATCAATTCCAAAAATAGTAAAAATTTAGGGAAAGTTTCTAAATGATGAAATAAACATGTTTGAAAAGGAATTTTTGGAAAATCAATTTTTGTTTGTGAAAACTCCCTGTTTTTGAAGTGTTCAAAAAACCTGTATTTTCGTGAACATGAAAATTGAGATATGATTTGTTAAAACGTATATATGTAACTATATATATATATATATATATAAAGAAGTGTGAATGAGCTGTAAACATGAAATAAAAACTATTATAACAAAGTTTGATGAAAAAATCATTTATATGATAGAAAACGTCAAAATTGTGTTAAGTGTACATATATTGAGCTTACATATAAACATACGATATATGTAGGCAAACTAAACTTATACCTAGGTGAATGCACACACATGAACTTGAATCTTTAACGCTTGATTGTCGTGTGTTGAATTACCTGTAAAGAGAAAAATAAAACAACAAAAACTAGAGAATAGATTAGCGATAAATTGTTTGACAAATCATCATTAAAACTATAGGGCCAATAGATAGGTATTATTTCCCATATAGATTCTCTGTTCTCCTTTCTTAAGCTCAGTGAATTCTATGACTCCTTTCTTGTCCTTTACGATATGCCTAGTTGCAGCGGAGTCGATCCACCAACCACTAATATCCATCATCACAGCATTACATTTCGTCACACCGACGAATTCTCTTTTGCTAGTACCCCCTTATTCTGGATGCTTATAGCCTCCCTTCTCCTGCTTTTCACCTTGTGGGCAATTAAGCTTGAAATGCCCGAACTTTCCACAAATTGTAGCAGGCTCCGCAGGGTACTTTCTTTCTCTTGAACTGCTACGATTTCGGTCCTCGCGGTTGTGGTTTACTAGGACCAGGGTTTTTATAGCTTCCAGCATTATGCCTCTGGCGGACATAATTCAGCTCTTGCTGCACCATATTCAGTTCTGTTTTCTTCCTACTGGTTATTAAGTCCTGTTCTATCACTAGGTGCATGGGAAGATCAGTGACATACTTAATGGCATGATTCATTCTTAATGTGGTGGCAGCCACAGCAAGTGAAGGGGGAAGACTATTTAGAATGGTTACCACTTGCATTCTTTTCGGGATTTCGGTCCCAGCAGTGGATAAGTCCTTAGCCATGACAATCATTTTATTTATATATTCTACGACATTGTCTCCCTCTTGCATACGACAATAATTATACTTATGCAAGAGGAGTTGAATGTTAACTTCAGAAGCAGTGTCGTATTTTTCTTTTATTGCATTCCACATGTCCATGGAAGTTTTATAAGTTTCAAAAACTTTGATTAAATTATCTTCCATGAACATGAGCATAAGGCTTTTCGCCTTTTTGTCTTCCGGCTTTCACTGCTCAAACCCTTTCTTTTCTTCAGGTGTTGATTTATCAGTAAGGGTTGGAGCAGTGGTTTCGATTACATCATCAATGTTATCATGAATAAGAGCATATCATATTTTTCTATGCCACATATCATAATTACTGCCATTAAATTTGTTAATTTTTTCTAGTTCTGATAGAACGAGTTTACTAGCCATTCGGTAAAGAACTAAAACTAAATTCAATTTTAAAATATGTATAAGGTTGATATTTTGACATGATATTTTGACAATTATACTAAAATATAATAAAGCTAAATAAATAAATAAATAAAAATGAACCTGACTGTTTCGAGTTGATAAAAGAAGTTCCAATTTGAGCGAGATTGCCACTCAACAGTGTTGATTGGATCAGCACTTGTCGAAGGTTCGACGTCGTTTCTAACTGGATTTGGAGCAGATTAACTTGGAATAGCCGGGCTAGCAAACAGCACAAGCGAACGTCAAGCAGGCATACATGCAAAAGCGAACGTCCTTTCTTTTACAGCTCACTTCTCCCCCATCACAATGTCAGGCTTTGAGAAAAAATGGGATGTGACAGGAAATAATGGCTATGAAAGATGTAGGCTAGATCTAGGACCGGCTCTGGAAATGATAATGAGTTAGGAGGCTATGATGTAGAACCGAAAAAATAATGGAGGAAGGTCTGTTGCTAGATATAGAGTAGGCTAGGCCTTGTAGATAGAGTGGCTTTTGGGGGCTGGTTGATAGACTGCTGGTTGTAGATTGGATGTAGGACCGAAAAGTAAAAAAGATGTAGCCTTAACAAATTAAAAAAATGTGACAAGACTTGCCTAGTAGGCTAGCTGGAATGCTTTCTTTACTTCTTCTGCTGAATGCTCCTTCTTCTTCTTCTTCAACAGGGTGCTTCTTTCTTCAAGAACTAGAAAAATGGAGAGAGAAAGAATGCTCCTTCTTCTTCTTCTTCAACAGGGTGCTTCTTTCTTCAAGAACTAGAAAAATGGAGAGAGAAAACTTGGCTCTGATACCAGTGATTGAACAGGGTGCTTCTTTCTTCAAGAACTAGAAAAATGGAGAGAGAAAACTTGGCTCTGATACCAGTGATTGAATTCAAAGAAGAAGAAAGAACAGATTTTTGAGGGGCTCCGGTAATGGGTAAGTGGGTTTTCTTTTGATTTTCCTTGTGTTTTTCTCAAGGAGAATGCTCCTCCTTATATAGGGGCTTAACCCATCATCTCTACCCCTCAGATCCGCCCCCATGAGAGATTTTCTCTTAACCACCCATGATTCACGTTCTCCAGCATTCTCTCAACAGAGAAACAGTGGTTGATTTGGTCATCAATGACCAAGTCAAGCTAACAATATATCTCTCCTAAATTTAGAATTATTTCTCTCAATCGGATTTTTTCAAAGGATATTTTAGTTATTTACAAATTACAAGTAGGGTTGTAAGAAAATGTTGAAGTTCAAAGGGATTTTTTATGGGACACCCCAAAGTTTAACAAAAGTTGTATAGGATAAACAAAATTGAGAGGGGTTATGTAAAAGTTCCCCAAACTTGGGGGAATTATATGTACTTAAGGGCTTGTTTGGATTGAGGGGAATAAGGGAGAAGGGAAGTTAGGGGAATCATTCATCTTGTTTGGGAACACTTAAGGGTTAAAAAGGGAGTTGGTGCAGACGATCCACTCAGCTATTCAAATTTCTTTGAACTTTATGATTGTTTGTAGTTAACCCCCTAAACTTTCACGCCTCATGCAGATAACCCCCTCAACTATTTCCACGCATCATGAACCCAAGTTGTTGCTTGTTCCTTCTATCTTAAGCTTACTGGATATTCACGTGTGAATATAGTCTCATATCGGATAGGATAACAGTGACGGATCCAGGATTTCTAGAAAATGGTGTCACTATATAATTAATGTTTAAAAAATTTACAACTGTCGCCGACAAGTTTTCATATTTGTTAAAATAGTACATAATCGTTTCATTGGTAATATTATCAAATATGTCACTAGTTACAGATTCTTGGGCTATGAAATTGAATTGAAAAGTGAGTTTTGGAACCTCCACAAAAAAAAAACTTTCAAGCTATCACAAAACCTTCTTTAAGTCCAGAGTTGTCAGAAAGCCACCTTCAACTTTCAATATGGTGCATTTTCTAGGAAGTTAAAGACTAGAAAGTTCTAATATTAACTTGTGAGTGTCACGAGCTGCGCGGAGGGCATTTTGGTAATCGTCATGGGCCACGGCTAACTTGTGGCTTAGGTTTTCCCGCGTAGGGTAATGCTTCAGCGACTGTACATCCAAACACCCCAACCCCCACACGCTCAAACCGCGGGCGTGGAACATCCGCAGCCAAAAGCAGATCCCAGTCAGCGCGCCCGTCACGTACCCAACTCAAAGTCGCTCCCTCCCTCCCTCTCCCTCTCTCTCTCTCTCTCTCTCTCATCAGTGAATCAAATGGAAGCAGGGATGGCGACTTCCGACCACCGCCACCTCCACCTCCACCATCAAATCCCCAAACCCGTCCTCTTCCCTTCCCCCAGAACCCTCCCGTTGCCCACCACCGGTAACCTCACCTCCAGAATCCGCTGCTCCGCTCTCCACCCAAAACCCTCTCCTCCTCCTCCTCCTCTCCTTCCGGTCGTCGAGCAAAGAGGCGGGAAAATGGTGGTGGAATTGGTCGGCGCCTTCAATGAGCTAACAGAGAGAATGGGGGAGATCTCGACCACATCCTCCTCTCAAATTTTGTTCAAAGCTCTGAAATTGTCGATACCTGTCCTTCAGTCCTTGCCTTCCGGTGACGATGGCCGGCCCCCGCTCTCGAGGGCTTTGTCCATCGCTTTCCTGCTCGCTGATCTGCAGGTACGAAGACTGATTTTGGTGGAAGAAGTTTGTCTAGTCAAATTAAGAAGTTTTTAGGTGTTGCGTGTTTTGTTCTTAATGATAACCCGGGTAGGATTTGTAATTAATATGATGCCTTCTTCTAAATTACTGCGTACTGAAATTTAGAAATTTTTACATGTTGGTATTGTGTTTTTATCATTACTGAAAACCCAGCTGGGGCTAGCAAAATGATGCCCTTTTTGGTAGTGAAAAAGAAATTCGGGTTTTTCGGATAACAATCTGTACTGGAAACATAGAGATTTTTGATGTGTGTTATTTAATTGGATTGAATCTTACGGTTGTGTGCAAGTTGACTGTGGACAAAGCTATAGTACGAAACATGTGCTGAATTTTGTTCTCATTTTGTGTGTTTTTTTTTGTTGAACAATTACCTAAAGTGGAAACACGGACGGAGGAAGAATTTTGAGATGTTCTGTTTTTGTATTTCATAGTGAAACTCGTGTCTTTTGCACTAGAACTTGTGCTTAAATGTTGAAATTTTGATATATTGTTTTCTTTATTTGATATTCACGTAGCTGTATGCAAAATGACTGTAAACAAAGCTAAATACAGATGGATGCAGAAGTTATTTCGGCAGGAATGTTGAGAGAACCATTGTTGGCCGGTGCTATATCCATGCGTGAAGTAAAAAGCCGGATTGGCACGGGCACAGCTCATCTACTGCATGAGAGCTTGCGGATAAAGAATATCCCATCTACAGTTGACTCACTGGATGATGAAAGTGCAAGCGCATTGAGAAAATACTGCCTGACTTACTATGATATCAGGGCTATAATTCTAGAGCTTGCGCTCAAACTCGATGTGATGAGGAATCTTGATTATCTCCCTAGATACCGTCAACAGATGATTGCTCTTGAAGTTTTGAAGATATATGCACCTCTTGCTCATGCTGTTGGAGCCGGTGCTTTATCGCTTGAACTTGAAGATCTCTCATTTCGCTACTTGTTTCCCCACTCATACCTTTATGTTGACACATGGTTGAGAAGTCATGAAACTGGAAGTAAGCCCTTGATAGAGACTTACAAGGATCAATTGCTTCAAGCGTTGGAAACTGATGAGGAGTTGCAAGAGATTGTAGATGACATCTCAATTAAAGGTCGATATAAAAGTCGTTTCAGTACCATGAAAAAGTTGTTAAGGGATGGTCGGAAGCCTGAGGAAGTCAACGATATTTTAGGTTTGCGGGTCATAGTAGACCCTAAACCAGGGCATGATATGACTGAAAGGGGGGATAGAGCATGTTATCGAATTCGTGAAGTTATACAGGGTTTGTGGAAAGAAGTTTCTAGAAGGACAAAAGACTATATTGCCAAACCAAAAGCAAATGGTTATAGAAGTTTACATGTTGCTGTTGATGTTAGTGAACCGGGGAAGACAAGGCCGCTGATGGAAATACAGATAAGGACAACGGAGATGGACATGTTGGCTGATGCTGGAGCTGCTTCACATTCATTGTACAAGGGTGGTCTTACTGATCCTGGGGAGGTAATAAGCTCCATATTCTTTTTCTGTTTCTTTTTTTGTAATTTGAGGCTCTTATAGGCTCTGATTTCATTCTTTGATAAACTTAGTCAACTGCCAAATGCAAATAGTAGAATTTTAGTGCTGACATTCTTGTATTTATAAGTTAATTGCATCTGAAGGAGATATTATTGACTTGTGCACGTCTTTATTTGATACCTGTTATACCTGAATAGCTCCATAAATTTGATGAAAATTACAGAACTAAGAAAAATCTAGCTGGTAAAATATTCATGTGGTGGTTTGGGTAATCATATAGCGGCTGCTCATGAACTTGTGAAGGCTAAATGATTATAGCACCAATACACTAAGTATCTGTTTTGCATCTTAATTTTTCTTTTTGCTGATGTCTTTACTTTATATGTTAACAAAAATCCTGAAAATTAAGTTCCATATGAGAGCTTAGTTTGTGAAAGTATACTTATAGGAATAGGGAAGCACTGATAACTGCATGACTAGGGAAACACGGACAATCAAGCATTTATTCTGTTGCATTCAAAATAGTTTAACCATTCTCAAACTTGTAACTTTTAATCAACTTAATATGATAGACACCCATCTTTCTCATTTCTTGTGCATTAATTAGGAGGACTATCTGTGTAAGCGAGGCTTGCTAGCTGCGTGTACTATTTAGGGTACTTTAGATTGTGGCTTGGTTTAGTAGCAGTGACATCTTAACTATAGTAAAGAATCAATGATGTGGAAGACTCGTGAAGTCAATAAATAGTTAGTAGTGACGAAAAGCTGTGGCTAGCTTAGGGCAAGTTTGGCAATCCTAGATTATAATATAATTGGGTTATAATCCTTTTGGTAAAGTGGGTGGTTTATAATCGATGTGCTTTTTGTTAAAATGACCAAAAAAACCCTTAAAAGGTGGTAGGAGAGAGAGAAGGGGAAAGGAAAAGTGTGAAAAGGTAATGGGCATTTTTGTCATTAACTTGCTCAACACGTGGATTACAATCCACAAAAAAATAACCGAGGAATCCCCTGGTTATTTTTTGGTGGATTATAATCCAAAATAACCCACTAATAAATTGTTGCCAAACATTCAAAAGTGGATTATAATCCAAAAAGTGGATGATAATCTTCTGTGACCAAGTTGCCAAACATGCTCTTACTGTGTAGCATATACCTATATAAGGCTAGTATTACATGAAAAAGACTAGATTGTCCATATCAATGTTATCCATATGTTTTATAAACTGATTGTTTACCTTCAATTTTGTTCAAGTTATTAGTTTTTTTATGATCAAAGTATTTATATTTAGATTTCCGAAATTCTTCTCTCATATGTCAATGTGCAGGCAAAACGTCTAAAGACCATAATGCTAGCTGCAGCTGAACTCACTGCCCTACGTCTTAGAGATATGCCTTCTGCAAACCATAAGGGAAGACTTGAGATTGACCAAAAAAACCGAGTATTTCGCTTTCTTGATAAAAATGGTGATGGGAGAATTAGCATTGAAGAACTTACAGAAGTGATGGAAGAGCTTGGAGCAGGGGGCAAGGATGCACAGGAGCTTATGCAACTTCTTGATGCAAATAGTGATGGATCTTTGAGCTCTGACGAGTTCAGTTTGCTTCAAAGACAGGTAATTTTGTAGATCCTGAATGCAAAACTTCATTAACATACAACTAGGTTACCCAGACACTTCATCTAGGTTCCAGTATCCGTGTCAATGTTCGCATCCGACACTCCTTGGACACTTCTTGAATACATACATACATTTATTTAGACGTCGTATTCATGTATATAAAACATGGTTTATTTCAGAAAACTTGCGATACACTTCTTGAATGTATATCGTACACTATGCCTCAAATTTATGCAACCTATTGGACTCAGGACAGGTTAGTTTTGGCAAATACCTACTTCATAAGTATGATTTTAAAGGGTCTTTTCGGTATCTAGTTCAAATATGAGTGTTTTTTCCAATTTATAATCTACTCGATAAAAGAAAACGTAACATGGTATAAGGATTTTAGTTCTCATAACAAGTGAATGAAAAAAATATCGATTTCATGTGGATTATTAATTTTAATATGTACGTACATAGCCTTGTCCCTGTATTCTAAATTTTACTATTTTCTGTGTCCCGTATCCACACCCGTGTCCATATCCGCACCCACACACCCGTATCCGTGCAACATAGACATACAATAAGGAATCACTATTAACTTACAAATATTAGAGCAATGGCACTAAAAAATATGCAGCAGTATTGGATCTGAACTCCAACTTGATACACAACTATTAACTTGAATGCTCTTCCATCTCTCTCTCTCTCTCTCTCCTCATTCTTCTTTCCTTTATCCCTTATGGATGAGTTAGTAATTACTAATCATTTAGATTTTTTATTGACAATGGTTTTATATATATGGTCTTGTTGCAAGAATCAAAATACCGAGTGAAGATACACTTTTCAACATAACACTGAAGAAAACTTGCAAATTATTTGCTTAGTAACTAACTTATTTAATTATGGTGTTGAAAGAACTTAATCAGTAAACTGTTTTTCTTTTTCTAGTTCTTAATTATTAGACCTTTAGTTCTTTATGTAATCCAAGTTGTCACTATTATCATTTCTCCTTCAAGTTCCAGTTATGTGCAAGTACATATCATTTTAGTTTTTGCGGATAAACTAATACTTTTTTTTTCTTTTTTCTGATTTGCTCATCTCTTTTACTCCTGCCCTCCAAGATGACTCTGATCAAATATGTGGCAATATACGAGGTCTATGCATTATGCATCAGTAACTATGTGCTGTGGATATAGTTTGGCATTTGCTGTGATCTAGCCTCTGTGTCGCTTGTACACTGAACCATACTTTTCATGAACCCCTATGTTTTAGTAAATAAGCTAGAGAAGAACTTCCATTAATGTGTTAAAAACAAGGATGTTTTAGCAAGTAAGAAAACTATTTTGTGAGCAGGCTGTGTTTGCACTTCAACAAATGTGTGGAGTGCATGATAGAAGAAAAGGTCAGGCCCTGGACTGACAGAGGGATAAAAGTTTTATTTTTGAATTAAACAAAGGGCTAAGGTTAATAAGAGATCTGCTTATATCTGACAAAACATTTAGTATGAGCAGTTTGAATTGAGTGATTGAATTGTAATTATCTTGGATGGCTCTATGACACAGGTTGAATTTATGAGAAACATGGAAGACACAGATGATCAGTACAGAACCATGTTGGGTGAAAAGCTTCAGATGACTGACAGTAACGGGTTGATTCAGGTTTATCGTAAGAAGTTGGGTGACAAATTAGCCTTAAGCTAAATCTGTAGCAAATTTATTTGCACGGCAGATCACCGCTGGATCAAATCTTTCAGTGCACTGTGCATAATATAATTTCTAATCTATGCTGATGTATAGTACTCCTGAATTGTGCTTCAGAATTTAGTAATGTCATTATATAGTTGTCGTACGTGATTTTCTTACTAAAGCATATATTCCTTTTATGCAGAAAATTGAGCCTGTATGCTCTCAATAAAGATGTAAGGTCCCTTTAATTTTTATATGAATTGTGTATGGAAATGTATGAGTGCAGTTCTTTTAAAACTGACCGTCAACGAATTCTTCTTGGTCTCCTTTCTTTGTACTGTTTCGCGTATATATATCATGATTTGTTCAAGTTCTGGGAACACAGTTGTTAGAACCTCCATAGAACCTAACCCTTCCCTTATATAGGCGAGGAACAAATTCAGGAAGCATTTTTTGGAACATCTTCTTTTTAAATAAAGTTATTTTTTTTAAAAGTAACTTTAGCAAAGTAGCTTTTTAAAAGTAGTTTTTGCAAAGTTTCTTTTTAAAAAGTGGCTTTTAGAAGAGTGACGATGTTTGTAGTCGCTTCTTGTTTCTTCGGCTGTAATTTTTCTCTTGGTGCTCTTTTTATCTTCACAGTCGAGTTGGTCCCAACATGCTTCTAATTAGTTTTTGGAGCCCTATCTCGATCAAAGGAACGTAATGGGGAAGTACTTCCTCCTGTGCTGGTCATTCTATTTTTGAAAATGGTGATATCAAGAAACCTTTTTTGAAAGATCCGGAGAGTCTTTCTATGTTATGGCTCTATAAAATTAGAACATTTTTTTGTTTGATGCTTCATTCATGAACTCATATTGTTCTTTTGTTCGACAGGCTATTGGTTCTAAGACCATTGTTTCTTCAAATTCTTTCTGTAGCTCTTTTTACTTGAAGCCTAAGTTTGGAAGATAAAAAATAATATGATCCATTATTAATATTTTCTCATCACTATAATGTAGTGCTTCAAAAAACTCAATTGCTGCTAATTCTTATTCTTCTTCAAGGTCATATTCCTTTTCATTAAAAGGAATATGTCTGAAGAGTGGTTCCTTTGTTAAGGGATCTAACTCCAAATTGCTAAGAAGGATAAAATCCAAATAAATTTCGTTCTTCCCATATGGACCATATGGTGAACTTAAAAACCCTCTGAAATTTTCTTGTTTCTTTAAGTGCCTGGCTATAGATATCAAGAATGAATGATTTATATTCTCCAGGTTTAGTTTTATCAAGATATAATTTATGAACTAGGCCTTTTTGGATGTGTTCTTTATGATAGGGTATAAGTTTAAAACTTGCTAGTACTCGTCGGTCATATTAATTTAATATAACCTGTGATGTTACTTTGAACAAGCAGCTTACCTCGTCGTTAGTTTTTCAATAAAAAAGAGAGCATTACCTGATCATCGATCAGGTTCCTCTGGTAACTGACGAACATGTCTTTTAACTTTCATTGGATCTGATATTTAGAGATATCAAACTTAAAGTAATTGACTAATTGACTAGTTCGATGAAAGTGTCTATTTTTGTCAAGTGTCAAATCTTTGATCTCAATTTCCTCAAGGATTGTTCTTAAATCTCTTGAGCTTGATCCCAAAGAATTTTTTATTTGTTCCTATAAGTTTTCAATGTCGTTAACATTGTTAAAGTTGAATGACTCACAAGATTTTTCACAATACTTCTGCAATTATGGTACCCTTTCTCAAGGTCTTGAATCTTGAGATTCTTTTCCCTAATAAAATTTTCTAGTGCAGAGAGACATGCATTAGTATCTGGAGTGGAAACTCTCATTTCTTGGAGTTTATTCTAAATGTTACTAATAACAGTATAGTCTTATTCAGGTAAACTAGTATTGTACTAGTTTTTTATTACAACATCCTTGAACTACAGAGGCCTTTTCCAATGTCCTTGAGGAGTATTGAGCTTCTTATTTTGAGGAGTTTTGTCCTCTGTTTCTCGTTGTGTTTTACCTTTTATGGTAACAAATTCATTATTAGTCTCCTTTGTTGTGAGGTTCTCTTGCATACTTGATGCGCCTAATATAATAAGGACAATCATAAATATTGTAAAGTGCAGTACTTATTTTAATATACTCAGCTAATTGATGAGTATTTTTTTCTTTTGCAGAGTGTCCATCAAGATTTTTTATTATAAACCTCATCCATCTCTTTACTTCCATTATATCCATGAGTAAGTATTTTTTCTGGATTGGCAAGGAATCAGGCAATAATTTTAATATCCTTTCCCTTATTATCTATATTAAGATGCTTGTTGATGATTTGATTTATTTGAGGTATTGAGTATATTTCATCCATACGTTTTTCTTTTACCCTAGATTAAGGTGGAAGAGGTGCTTGGCCTTTGTCAAGCTTCTTTTATGGTGAGGAACTACCCATGCCTGGAAAGAAAGTCAGCACCAATATTAGCAAATCCAGGAATATGTCGAACTACATAAATATGATTTCTAATTCCATGGAACATCTTATTCTGTGCATACTTTTCTCAATTAAAAAGATTAGATTTTTTTAAGAAATTGTGCAACAGCTTGATTATCAGTTTCAATAATGAACTTAGATGATAATAAATATATTTTAAAAGAATTAATATTATTTTTGGTAGCTAATAATTCTTTATCATATGTAGCATAATTTTTCTCTGGTCCTTTAAGTTATCCAGAGCAATATGCATATATTTCAGGGTTTAATTGGTTGATTTTTGTCCTTAAACTAGGCTCTGATACCAATTTCGAACGCGGATGTTTTGGTGAAATTGCAACTAGAATTCATGCCCAATGTGTATCTAAAGCATTAGTTTGTATAACTAATGTATCTTTAGATTGTGGTTGATAAAGATTTTTTGTTCTTTTATTTTATTTTTGATGTTGACAATTTCTTGTAATTGTCTATCATTGAGTGTTATTTTAATTTTGTTAGTATCCCAATGGGTTACTCTTTTATTATTTATGTCTTTATATTTCTTCTGTTCTTCAATAAGCTTATGCTGAAGCGAAGAAATCTTTTCGGAGAAATTAAGTATATACATTCTTTCATAATTTAGCAAGCCTAGAAAGCTTTGTAGATCTTTTAGAGTATCAAAATTATCTTTGAACTCGGTCTTTGGAATGATATGGTCTTGTAACATGATTTTTCCCTAAAAACTCGATATCTTCTTTCATTAAAGTTATCTTTTAGGGGATAGAATAATATCATGAGTGAGCAATAGTTGCTCTATTGCTATCAAGTGTTCTTTAATTTGTGTTCTTCTTTAGTTTTTAAGAACACTAGGATGTCATCTACGTAGACAATAATGAAGAGTAAATACCAAAAATACTATTCATCCATTTCTGGAGTACTTGAGGGGCATTTTGGAGGCCAAATGGCATAACATCCATTCACAATGTCCACCATTAGGGCAACTAAATACCGTTACCTTTTTGCTTTCTTCATCCTTTATTTTGATATTCCAGAATCTTGATTTTGCATCGAATTTATTGAACCATTTAGCGTCTCGAACTCTGTGTAATAATAATTCACCGTTGGGATGAAGAATCCATCAAATGTGGCGGCTTCATTAAACTTTTTATATTTAATGACCATCCTTGTCTTTCCTTTTTTTTTGCTCATCATGATTCCTTACCATGAAGGCGGGAGAAAAATCGTTTGATTTTGTTTCTTTGCATTGAATTGAGTTTGGATAATTCTGCTATTTGAGTATCAAACATTTTTCTATCTTCAAGGTTAGCCGTTGTAGGGTTGACCCTGATATTTTCCCCCTTTGTACTCATCTTTTAATTGGATTGTACAATATCTAGGACTTTTATCAAAATGTAACAAGGGTTTCTCACTGTATAATGGTGATAACATCGTGTGAACAGTTTTTTTTTAAAAAAAATTAGCGACGAGTATGTTATAATTGAGATGCTTAATTTCCTTTTTGTGGTGGGGTTAATTCACCACGTTGTGCTGCAAGAGTAAGAATAAAAAGTTGTGTGTGTCAAGAAAGTGGTATCAGAGCCATCTGCCGGCTTGGAGTCCTATAATATAATTTTTGTAAGTTCTTATTATTAATACGATGTTCTAAATTTTCTTTCTTTATCCAATCTCTATCTTCATTATGTAGTTTAATTTTGTTGTTCTGTTTATATTTACTTTTCTTATCAAGTTACACTTAGAGGTATGAAACGAAACTAGACTGCTCTCTCTCTCTCTCTCTCTCTCTATAATATATATAGAAGCAGCATGCTAGGATTGTGGTAATATCTATGTGTAACGGAATGAGTGCTGTTAGTTTTGAGTTCGTAGCTTGAATAGAAAACTACGCTCAGACAGTGTGTGTTTAGCCGGAGAGAAAAAGGTAAAACTCTTGATCAACAAAGAATATATAAACAGATATACTAAAACTTAAACAATATAAGAAAAGATAGAGAAAGAGGAAAGATAATCTTTAAATCATGTCTAGATTAATTCAAGAAACTTGCAGACTAAGTGCTGAACATAAAAGTTACAAGCACTTACTCCACATGCCTAAAGACTCTAACGAATCACCACCGAACCAGGATTTAGCCTCAATGTTAAATTATGTAATTGATATGGTATATCCTATCGATGATATCAATACAAATATTCTAAATCTTCAAAAGAAAATTGAAGAAAGTAAATCATTGAGTACAAATGGTATTCAAAGAAAAAACAAAAGTCCAAACCAAAATAACGAAATTTCTATTCGTATGTGGCACTAGACAAATCATCTAAATATGATGATAAAAATTAAGGGTTTAATTGATATCTTTCAACATGAAACTTTTAATTCTTTAATTAGGATTATGTTAAGATAACAAATCCAGACCTTAATACGACACATACAAAACCCACAAACAGAGTTTGCTGCTTTACATCAAGTAAATTAACTGTTAGACAATAGTAGTTCATTACTAAATTATTTCGATAATAGTCAAGATGACTTATCATCTAGAATAAGTGAATACAAAGACAACCTTGTCATAATATGGCGCAAGATGGAGAATATTCGGTCATAGGACCATCTTTACAACGACCACACATACTAAATCTACCTCCACAATAGCAACAGTCTTCTTAAAGATTTAAACCTAGCGATATGGATAACACTACTGCAATTCTAGAAATGAGAAGACTTGTTCCTATGCCATCTTCTTCGCAAAGAAAGTGAGGATATCTGCCAAGCTATATCAGGGCTAAATATAAAAAATATGAATGAAGAAGCTGCAATTCATAATCCTATCAATATAGGAGGACTCTATTTTAATATAGATA